AGTTACAGAAAAGCTCTCCAATTGGTTAAAAGAGAAAACAAAACTATAGTGTTGAAAGATTAGAGAACATTTGCACCAAGATACAACCAATGACACCATAGATTCAAAGAGGTTGTTGATTTATAGTGCTTTCCCTCGGAAGATCCTATCTTTCAAACCAAATGGACCAAAGCATGGTCTGAACAAAATGTATCCAGAGGATTTTAGCTTCGTTAGTAAAAAGGTGTCCCGTAAGAGTAGAGGATAAGAGGGAGTGTAAGTCTGTCGGTAGAACCATAGGCCATCCAAAAGATGATAAGAGAGTATCCCAGAGCTTGGATGAGAAGTTGCAAGAAATGAAGATGTGCCCCAAAGATTCACCATGCTGCTTGCAGGATACACACCAATGTGGATAAAGGCTCATACGTGACATCCCCTTTTGTAGCTTGTCATGGGTATTTAATGCAAACAAGCTAACGTCTCATAAGACGAATTTAATCTTCTTTTTTTTTTTTAATCTTCTTTGGGAAGTGATCTTTCCAAATCGACTTATAAAGAAAAGCATCATCGGGAGAGGTTGTGGGATTTATCATGTCTTAGAGGAGAGAGCTGGTTGTGAAGAATCCCGATGGTTCCAATCTCCATATCCTGGTTGAGATAGATGGTAGACAATCTGTGTAGAAGCTACACTGGCTCAATGATTTCTGCATCTTTGAGGTTCCGTCTAAATCTAAGATCCCAAGAGTTAGTTGTCGTCAACCATAAGTCCTTAACAGCAACATTTTTGTTGGAGTGTAAGGCAAAGAGAAGGGGGAAAGCAGCACACAATCTCACATTCTCCAGCCAATTTCTGTCCAGAAAGAAGTTTGTGATCCATCACCTACCTTAAAGTAGCTTCTGTCCATGACAAGAGATTGTTGTTTGAGGATAGATTTCCACAAACCAAGGGCAGAAGCAAGGGAGTGGTGAAGGTTGTTGTTTTGTCGATTGATGGGTCCATATTTAGCAACAATAACTCTTCTCCAAAGGGCAGATTCATACATCCAAATCCATTTTGCTAAGAGAGCTTTGTTTTTTTCTTTGATGCTTCTAATTCCTAGCCCTCCATCATCAATGAGATGGATGTGCTGTCCCCTATTGCAGTTGTTTCCTTTCAAAAGAAAGTTCCTCGTGATTTTCTCCAACTCCTTTACCACCTTAGATGGGATGGAAACGATAGATAATAAGTGGGGAGATTGGATAGGATAGCCAGTAGGAGGGTGAGCCAACCGCCTTTTGATATAAGAGAATTTTCCAACGAGCTAAGCTTTTTCCTCATTTTTTTTCCAAAATTGAGTCCCATTCAAGGAGAGACCAAGATAAGAATTGGGCTAGGATCCTCTTTTACAAACATAATGATCTGCCAAAAGATCCAGCTCTGTGTCCACTAAATTGATAACCATCATTTCGGTCTTTTGAAGGTTAGAATTCAACCCTGACACTTCTTTGAAGATCCTTAATGGTGCATAAAAAATTTGTAAGTAATGTGGTAGAGAAGAGAATAGCATCATCTGCAAATTGAAGATGGTGTATCTCCAACTGGCTCTTACCAACTATGGGACCCTTTACCAATTTTGATGCTGCTGCATGGGAGAGAAGCCTACTAAAATAACCCACACCAAGGATAAAGAGGAAAGAGGATAGGGTTCCCCTTGCCTGACTTCTAGAAGCTCTTAATTTACCTCAAGGCTTCCCATTGATGATAATAGAGAAATTGGCGGTGGAAATGCAGCCTCTAATCCATTTTCATCCTCTGTGCCCAAAGCCTTTTGCTTCAAATATACCAATCAAAAAGTCTCAGTCCACTTTGTCAAAGGCCTTTTCAATGTGTAACTTTTTTACCATTCATTTTTCCTTTTTTCAATAACAGTCATCAATGAGCTCATTCACGATTAAAGATGCATCTAATATTTGTCGATCAACCACGAAAGCAAACTGTTGAGAAGTAATTGTAAAAGGCAAGACCTTCTTTAATCTCTCAAATAGGACTTTAGCGATGATCTTGTACATACATGATATCAAGGTGATGGGGCAGAAATCACTAATCGTTCGAGCATCCACCTTTTTCAGAATTAAGCAGATATAAGTCTCGTTTAGGCTGACATTCACAATACCCTTCTTTGGAATACTCTAAGAATATCTGCTTTAAGAATGTTCCAAAATTTTCTATAGAGTTCTAGTGTAAATCCATCAAGCTCCAATGATTTGTTGTGTCCCAATTCCTTTACTACTTTCCAATTTCTATTTCTGAAAAAGGAGATTCAAGAAGAGCTTTCTGTGGAGGGGAAATGGGATCCCAATAGAGGGAGCAAGGGAGAAATCTAGTACCTTCCTTCTTTGTGCAGAGGTTTTCATGAAAAGATAAGAACTCCTGCATATCATATCTTTGTCTTCGGTCAGACTTCTACCCTCTCGGGAAACCACCTCCAAAATGGTGCTTCGTCTACGTCTGGCAGCCACCAATTGATGAAAGAAACCCGAGTTCACATCCCCTTCGTTTAGCCATTTCACCTTGCACCGCTGAATGGGCTTCCTCTTGACAGCTAACGAGAGGAGTTGTGCCTTAAGAGAGGACCTTTGAGAAATCTGTTCAGGTTGAATAGATCCCATCTCTTATTCTGTGTCAAGGGCAGCTAAATCCAGAAGAAGCTGGTCTCGTTGTCTATGAATGCAGCCAAAAGTCTCTCTCTTCCAAGATCAGTCCCTCAATTTCTGGATGACATCGCGGCTGGGCCAACCTTGCAAAGGATTTGATTACCACCACTGTTCCACCATGGGAGAGAAAGAAGAGCGTTGCATCCACGTGTTTTCAAAACAAAAGGGAGAAAGACCCCATTGGTTAATCCCCGAAGTTAACTGAATGGGATGGTGATCTGATGTTTCCCTGTCCAAACGTTTCACTAAGGCACTAGGGAATTTAGAGAGCAATGGATCATATTACATAAGAACCAATCAATAAGAGAAATAGAAAGTGACTCCCTCAAATTGGACCATGTGAAGAGACCATTGGTGAGCGGGAGGTCCCTGAGATCGGTGTCTACAATAAACTCATTGAAAAGGCACATATTGGGAGTGGGCCTCCACTGATTTGGTTTCTCATGTGACCATCCGGTGATGTTGAAATAACCTCGTAGGAGCCAGCAATCAGTGCAGAGGATAGAAAAGGGAAAAAATGGCCCTTTGAATCCCAAAAATCCGCTCAACCAATCTGCTGGCTATAAATGAAAAGGAACACCAAAAAGGTATTCAGCTGCTGGATCTATCTTGAAGGTATTCAGCTTACTATTTAATAAATAAAAAGGAACAAAAATGTTCAAAAGGTCTGAAAGAAGAACTAAAAAATAGAATGAAGCTAACCTGAGAATATAAATGCATCCCAATTTATACAAATATCACTAAAGAAATAATATGATCTCTCCAACCAAACCCCAATATTGCTTTCATTATTTTTGCACATTAATAAAGTGAAAATGGTTCATATATAAAGAGGATATACATTTCAATTTGGGATAGTGTTATAAATGGCAACATGAAAGAAAAGTCACTCACACCACGAGCAAGTCTTGTATTAAGAAATGGTACAGCAGGAAAAAGAGGTTCTTCATTGTTCACATCTTTAATAGGAGGCACTTCACCACTTAAAAGATATTCACTGAAGACCAAACCTGTTAAACATTTAACATAAAATTAACAACTTATAGATAAGGTTAGCAATTGAATTTTTTAATAATAATTTTTGGTAGAGGTCATAAGAGGAGGTGTAGAATGAAGCCCATTTCGATGCATTGCTTTGGGCATTCTTGTCAAAATTAATTGCAATTGTCCATTTTCTTTTATTGTTGAAAATTGAAGAAACTTCTTGCAATTCAAGGTCTTTTCAACTTCCAAAATATGTTGGATTCTTTGAATATCCAATTTGTTTGAAAATTTACAAAGATCCAAGCTTACTAAATTAGGAATCTTAAAAGAATTGTTGAACTTCATCAAATCAGAAGATTTGGAATCAAAGAGAAGTTGTTTCTTGTTCTCTTTCCTTGTTGGTGTAATTTCTAATCAGAATTGTTCCATTCTAAGAAGCACGGACAACCTGAAGGCTAATTCCTAAAATCTTTAAGCTCTCTGCTTTTACTCATGGAGCAGTTTTGGGTTTTTGGGATCAAGTAATGTGTTTGCGGAATATTGAGACGAGAAGGTCCCATAAGATAAGGGATGGGAAGAGTTTTCTACCCTTATGTCAGTTTTAGGCTCAGTTTCTATTACTAATGATTACAATCGAAGAATCTGGTCACTTGAGCCTTCAGGTATTTCTTAGGTTGCTTCCTTGAGTAGGCTCGGTTTCTTTTACAAACGGTTTTATGTACCATTTAACTTCTTTTTTTTTTTTCTTAACAAGAAATAACTTTTCATTCATGTATATGGAAAGAAATAGAAATATTCAAATCTACATCTCACCAACTATAAAGAATTGCAAACAATTTAATGTACTATTTAACTTTTAACCCCCCTCCAAAAATAAATACATAAAGAAAGAGAGGGAAGTTACTTGCACGATAAGGATTTAATGTCCTTAGTTGAATGGACTTGTATGATTTTAGATTGCAGAACATGTGGATGAAGGTCACTACGCTAAAGCAACCAAGAGCAAGAGATGTTGAGGACCTTATACGATTAGCCAATGTAATGCCAAGCATCATACCAATAGACTTGCTAACCATTCCTTGTGCTTCACCCTTAGCAATCACCTAACATCAATTTATATTTCTTTCAGCATATATGCATTGGAAGGATAGGGTCAATTCCATTCATTCATTCAAGATATACTTTTGAAAGCAAGAGATCTCATTTTCTTTATGAACCAGGAGTACGAAAAATTGTCCATCCCTCCCTCAAGCTCAATTGGCTTAAGTTTGACAATGTGTGCTTTGAGTGGTATGCGTGATGAAATAAAATGTAACTAACGGTTATGACGATGGAAGTGACAAAAATACAAAGTAAGTCAAGGCATCCCCCTCCGTCTGCATGTACAAAACATAATGTACACAAAAATGAAAGACAAACTTTTATCCTAATCTGCAGCTATGAGAAATGTTTGGTGTTTGTAACCTTGCTAACATACACTAACCAGAGAAGAGATTACTCTATTTCACCTCAGCAAAATTTCTTTGAGCAGCAAAGCCAGCATAAAAACAACTCCTAGTAGCAGCCTGAGGAAAAATTAGATTCAACATTCAAAAACAGTAACACAATTAAAATTTAAGAAGTAGTAATAATAATTTTAAAAAAAAATGTAACTGATTTTACGAGAAAGATTATACCACATCGAGTTAGATCATGTAACACCTTCAGATCTATTAGCATGCTTAAGGTGAAGTCAGTGAGCCCATGAATGTTTTTCTAAACAAGATATAAACTTCTCATTATAAAAAAGAACAAATTGAGTGATGTAGTATTGAAGTATTCTTGAAATAATTAGGCTAGCCTTTTTGACGCTGGGATTATTTATTTACAGCCATATGACTTTAGTTAGCCCAAACAGCCGGTTAGTTATTAAAAACTAACCACTGTAACTGCTTTCTGTTGCCCAATAAACAAAGCTGAAAACTCACAATAAAAGTTAGCTTCATAGTACTTTAGACGGCAGCAATAAAATAACTTTTTTCATTCTTGGTTTTACACCAAAATTGGTTTCAGAGCCCTAAAAAGTAAAATCCTAGGATTTCATGGCTGGGAAAAGCACAGTCCATTCTGGCAAGGGACTCACTGTAGATCCTCAAACAAATCAACCCCAAATTCTTTCCCCCAAGTCCACAGCCGAATGCTTGTTTTTGGTAGAGTAGAGTACTCCTTGGGTGCATTATGAACTAACGCAAGTGATATTCATAAGCTTTAGGAGAAATGGAGAATATGTCTAGACAATTGGACCTTCTTTCTGCCAATCAAAACCAAAACCAAGAAGCCGTTGAGGAAAGAAATGGATTCAATAATCAAGGTGGAGCAAATATTAGACCAAGAAACCCTCCAAGATTATGTTCCCATACCCCTGAAGTTGCAAGAAATGCAATGATTCAAGGCCAAAGAAATCAATAATGATGATGGAGGGATAAAAATTCCGATTCTTCTAGCTTATGGGAAGAAACTTTTCCAACAAAGAAAGTCAAAGATTTAATAGAGATATCCCAACCAAGAACGAGGAAATATGAATAGCGACTTGAAAATGAAAATTGACCTCCCCACTTTTAATGGAAGGAGGGACGTAAAAGCATTTCTTGATCGGGTCAAGGATGTTGAAAAAAATTCCAATTACATGAACACTTTGGAGGATAAAAATGTAAAGCCCATGGCCTCTGAACTCCAACTTGGCGCATCATCTTGGTGGCATCAACTCGAAATTAACCGTAGGCAGTCAGGAAAGCATCCGATACATACTCTGCCAAGAATGCTCTGATTGATGAAGAAACGTTTCTTACGAACCAATTTTGAACAGTCCTCCCTCCATTAAAATTTTTTGTGTGACCATCGAGTAATGTTCAAGTCACCATCCAAATGCCAAAATCCCTCACAATATTTCCAAAGGCTCTCTATAGTTCCTCCCAAAACTTCTGATCTGAAGGACCGTAAATATTTGAAACCCAAACCTCTTCTCCATTACCCACCTCTACTTTGATGGTTAAGAGTGGGCTCCAGATAATACAATTGTGATCTTGATCTTCTTCTCATTGCATGTAAGCAAAATTCTCCACAACCTATCAAACGTGTCTACTGTTGCCCATCAATTGGTTTCAGCTAATACTTCAGCGTTCAATCACTATTTAAATCAAATTAAATTAAGTATTCTAAAAACTAATCAGCAAATCAAATATATAAATACGAGGCAAAAAGGACCGGGAATAAGGAACAACTTCCAATATCACGTGAAAATGATGTATCAACTTCCAGTAACCTGAATTAAGGCGGCCGCAGATCGTCCAGCCCCAGCAGCAGCACCAATCACAACAAAATGATGGGGAAATGCGGGAGTTAGCATCTCCATCCCAAAGGCAGCATTTTCCAGAAGATCAGCAAACAACCTCCACCCCTTCGGATTGACATCAAAATGCCGCCCATATTTTGAGAGGAATATTTTACTCAGGTATCCAAATCCATCCTTCAGTACCCAATTGACGGCAGCAGCAGTCGGAATAGCTCCTTTTCCTAATCCAACAGCATAAAGCAGTGCCTGGATACCGGCGGAGGTTCAAGCAAAATGCAGTCTATTATTCTTTAGTTGGATGAGAAATATAGGATAGAGGAATTATGGACGAACGTAAATGGGCACCTGCGTTGCAAGCACCCCACTAACTTGGCTAGCGATACCCTGGACTCCTCGCCAAAGAGAATATTCCAGATAGTCGCTGGTAACACTGTCTGGAAAACCCTCCGGAAGCATCAAATGCCTGAAGATATCGCTGCAACGAAACCAAAAATTGACACAGGAAAAGGATAACGGAGACGACGGCATGCCAGTTGCAACATGGAACTCATCCCTAAATGTATCAAGAATGATGCGGATTCGCTTACCTCCTTTGACTTCCCAAATAGACCCAGAGTTCAGATCATTACGTGCTAGTGCTGCAGCCAACTGAAAATGGCAGAAACAACACAGAACGGAGGTGAGGAAGAGGGCAAGGAAGGCATTATGCGGCCCTTGGGAAAAATTATTGTCATCATGCCACCACCCGAAACTCCCAAAATGATATGGATTATTCCAACCACCATTACTGTTTCCACCACACCCAATGCCGTCGCCAGCCAGCAGAGGAGGATGAAACGGGGAATGAACGCGAGCAAGTTCCACTCTAGTCTCGATAGAATGAGAGAAATGTCGTTGGACGAGTTTCGCGGCGTTGAAAAAGCGGGGAAATACAGTAAGAGTAGGTCTCACTGCTGCGCATGACCTCGGCATGGGCGACGAGAACAATGGCGGCGATAACTTCGCGTTCTTCTGGATCATCATGGCGGACAAAATTAAGAAAATAGATTGAAAGGCTTCGAATACGCAGCTTCTCAATAACCAGAAACCGCAGGTATAAAATAACGATAAATTTCAGAGGAAAAAAAAACCAAGCGCTAACTTTT